ACACCTAAATTTCAAAAACTGGCATTTCGCTGGATTGAACTTAATGTTGAGGTCCTTGCCTATTTGTTTGGCAATTTCCAACATATTCAATAACCCAGTTCTTGATGGAGCTAAAAGGATAATGTCATCAGCATAAGCAATCACCCCTGCAAATGTTCTGCCAATGTAGCAACCCTGACCACAGTTACGTAGCTCAGTAAGTAACATATAAGCATAGATCGAAAAAAGTACAGGTGACAGAATTCTGCCTTGCTTGACACCGTTGGACACAGATATCAAACCTGAAAGAATCTCTCCCCAGTGAAGCTGTACCGCCTGTCCTGTATGCCTAAGTAACAATACTCTACATGTTAAAGGACATAAACCTTTCTCAAGTAATCATTTAAACAGTTTAATATACTGGAGATGGTCAAAAACCTGACTCACATCCAAAAGCATGCAAAACACGGATGTGTCATTATTTAAATAATACTGAATTACTTCTTGTACAACAAAAGTACACTGTGTAGTCGAAGATTTCTGCTTAAAACGAAATTGCAGATTGGTTGTAACCAGTGATTCAGCATTCATTTCTGATATTACAAGCTCAAAAAGTTTACTTAACGGGCTGTTTAAGGCAATGGCCCTATAATTACCTGAGTCGCTCAGTGATTTTCTCGTACTTTTTGGAATAAGTATGATGGTCAATGCCAACATATCACCAGGGACGTAACTATGACGCATCATAAACAAAATGGTTAGATGTGTGCCTAATACCAGTCCTCCATGTTTGATATGGTTGGTAGAAGATAATCTGTCACTTGTCTCTCTTACCGAAGTTAAGACGGGACATGCCATTATCAGTTAGGTCAGTCGTAACGAAGTGGCCATGATAACACTGATCATTGCAGCAGTGATGACGAATTTGCTCATCCAGTTCCCATATCACGGTGGCCGTATCCTCTTCTTCGTATGAGACACAGTTATACAGACACTCATACTTACGAGCAAATACATTACCGATTTCTCATTCGCTGATAGCACCATCAACAGTAGAAGGAACAGGTTTAGAAGTTTTGTTGCACTTCTTCACCTCCTTCCATAAATCGTGGTTCTGACAGTTCATGAGTGCATCAGTCATCTTCTGAGACGATAGCTGATCTGCTCGGGATTTGACACGTTTTACCATACAATGATACTCAGCACGAGTACTCCTCCATATCTGGGCAATTAGACCAACTCTTGGTCTTCCCATTTTCATGCACGGGTTTCACCTCGTCATTCCAACCAGCCACAGAAGGTTTGTTACTGCGAGTATGTGGTATAGATTTCAAACTAGAGTCTATACAGGCTTTAACCAGTATTCTATCGATGAGTCATGACATTTACAGTTAACTTGATTACAATGAATTACCTTGCACGGTATCTGAACATTATCTAAACGTTTCCTCAGTCCTCCCTGATAGGCTTCAGTTGACTCAGGCTTAGCCTCGACCCATTTGAATCTCAGATGCGATGTAGTGACGTGTGCAGGTACAAGTCATTCTATTGAGGATGAGTCAACCATAGAAAGGGAAATGACACTATGATCTGAAAAATTATCCATGTCATGACATTTCACACTTTTAGGCTGACAATCCAACATGTTATTAGTGACAAAGAAATTATCAATATTTGACCTATCACCAAACACATTCTCAAACGTGTAATCAGATGCATGTTCACCAGTGTATGATCTGGTCAGACAAAACTCCTCGTCCTGTAGAAACCTTTCCAACTCCAACGTGTGAGGTAAGCTACGTTGGCTGAAGTCTGTGTTAAAGTCACCACCTAGGACAATCCTGTCATATCCATTTATGTGGCATATACAGGAGATATCTTGTAGTACAGAAATATATTCATCCAGGTTACCAGCAGAATCGGTAGGCATATAAACATTCAGTGCAAGAAATAACAGCTCACCCGAGGGTAACGACACTGTTACTCCACAAACACAATTGTTCAAGCACTCTATTAGTGTAATGACAAGTTTGGTTTGACAGTTGGGTAGTATCGTTTGACTTGTATATGCTCAGACCAAATTGGTTGATTCAGTATAGTGAAATCATTTTAGGAAACAGTGAGACAAAAAACTTGATAACGCCAGTCGTCTGGTGAAACTTTCTGTAGATCTATTATGTAACAATCGTTATATTCTACAAAAGCAGATATCCTCAACTTTTGCTTCGTTAGAAACGTTAGTGATGTATAAATCCCTGTCTGGACCTGATCGTCCAGTGAGAGTACGAACATCCTCACCCGTACCAATTATGACTTTTCTTTGTCATTCACGGTGATTCTTCCGTCTCTCCTGATCTTTGGGAAGCCTGAAGTCCCCGTCAGTGTTTTCTGCAAGAGGCAATTAAGATGTAATAGTACTCAACAGATTTTCACAAAGTTCATTTGGAAGTTTAGGAAGAACTGAAGACTTCCTGCTGCCCGGTTGGTCCTTCTTGTTCTTCCGTTCAGAAAATCGGCAGAGCTCGTGCTTGATGTAGCAGTAAGCTCAGACAATTCAACTCATAAATCACAGCCGGTTTCTCACCAGTATGTATTTCAGTCACCACAGGTGTGATGTCAGCAGTGGCTGAAGTACTTAAGTCACACACTGCAGGTTTAAACAAACGCTTATTCAACACGGCTTTAATGGCAATGTTTTCTTCAACCGTGTGCTCGACAGTTTTTTTTCATACAAGTCACAGTCTCTTCCAACTAACACATTAGATTAGCGAAACAAAGTTGAAATCGTGGAACAAGATGCAAGTCTTTAGCCCTAACAGCAATACATGGTAGTTTCTTGGCTTTTTCTAGCTTTGAAATTCCCTCCAAAATATCATGCAAGTGTGCCTCTTTTACAGTACGGGTTTTACCATCACGCCGTTCAGCTAATTTGCCAAGGGTAGATTGATCACAAAGGTCCCACAGTGTAATTCTAGCATCTTTCACCTGTGCATTAGAAAATTTCACAAGAACAGCTGATTTCAAGTTGACTTCAGTACACCCATTACTCATGGACTTCATGAGTAAAGCAGATGGGGATTTCTGCCCATCCTTACAGACTCGTGCTTCTTCTAATCTGGGTCTTTTTGCTTTTCAAAATAGGGAATCACAAACATCCATTGCACTGTTTCTAGTGTATCATTCCTTAGGACTTCCCAACGTGTAATTCCCACCTTCTCTTCTAGTGGAGCACAGGAGTCCTTGCCACTTCCGGTTCCCAATTGCTGGAGTGGTGGACCAAAGAGGTTTCCTCCTAAGTGGGTTTTGTATAACAAATAAAATATATATTGTGTACTCACTGGGTGAGAAGAGGGTTCTTATCATTATACTCATTACTGAACAATGATTATACAATAACATAATATTCAAGATCCAGTGCACTTCTCTTGGATGGTTTTAACCAAGCAGACCACACTTGTTTATCAAAAACTCCTTATGCAAGGCACTTCCACTGGATGTTTTCTGCCTGGATGGACTGCACTTTGCGTAATATGATGTACTCCAAATCATTTCCCCTCAGTGTTTTTTACCCAGGCAAACTGCACTTGTTAATCTCTATATTTTATACAAGGCACTTCCACTGAATGATTTTGTCCACCCTTTTTCCCCACTGATATGCTAGTGTTTCTGGTTTGTACCTGCCAATTCTCAAAATTGAGGATTACTCTAGAATAGTAGAGGGAGCTAGCTGCACTAGTACATAGGGTGCAGTAGAGGGTAGTCACATGATCAGCACATGTTCTGAAATGGCACAAAACTGATGGGGTATAAATGACTAGTGCACTGTTAGTGAAAAAGTTTAGCCATGCTTAGAGGGCAGTTCAGGATTGAGATATCTTTGGGTAAAGATGGAACTGTAGCTATCAGAAATACAGTTTCAGTGTACGAAAATGTTAACTTTCATTACGTAACTCTGTGCAAGTTGTATGTTGTGTATGCAGTTTAATTGTTGTACTAGGCTTTTGTAATGTTGTTGACATCGTGTTACTTGAAGCTTCTAAGTTTTCTCATTATGTTTAATGTTGTTATGAGAGGGCTAGATATTTCTAGATTTTTCTGTCATGTGATATAAATATGTGCAGATACAGAGAGTTAAGTAAGTTAGTGAAAGTAAAAGTGAAGTTAGACTGCATGATTGTCAGTTTACCATAACAGGCAATTTCTAAAGCGAAAGTATCACAGATTGTATTGTAACAACAGAGATAAAGAATAATAATTTGTCTTGTCAAAGGGTGTTCTAAAGTAATTGAACCCATCTGTGTGGACTTTGACAAAAAGGAGACAGTTATTTAAAACTCTGGATATAACTGTGGTAACCAACAGTTATAGTGGTGATTTTCATGTGAGTTTCACAGCTTGAATTGTAACAACAGAGATAGAGAAGTTGAATTCGTCTTCTTAAAGGGTGTTCTAAAGTAATTGAACCGGCCTATGTGGACTTCTGATGTAAAAGAAAATAATTTCAAGCTATGGATACAACTGTGGTAATGTAAGTGAATTTATCACTGATTGTATTGTGAAAATAGAGGAGAGAAGAAATAATTCATCTTGTCAATTGGGTTCTAAAATAATTGAACCAACTTGTGTGGACTTTGGAGAAAAAGAGAATTATTTAAAACTCTAAATTCAACTGTGGTAAATCAATAGTATAATGAATTCTTTTAAATATGTTTGATTTGTTTTAAATATATTAATTTAAGTGGATTGTGTGCTGTCCATTTATTATTGAAATTCATTGCCAACAAAACCAAGACATCTACTGTAAGGAATCCAGCTCTATAAGAACCTAACATTATATATGGAATAAAACTGAGTAACAAAATTGAAAGGTTGTACATTTTTCTAACATTCAAATTCTATTGTGATAGGAGAGTTAAAACTTAAAAAACATGTTAAGTATTTTCAAAATTAACATTTGTTTACCTAACATATATATATATATATTAATAAAATTAGATTTGTTTTTCTACCAATTTCTGTAGTCTGATATTGTAGATGTCAACCAAATATTTAAAGACCTGGCATCAATGGTTTATGAACAGGGTGAAATTATTGGTAAGTAAAAGATTGTTCTTTTTTTTTAAAAAAAAAAAATGGCTTAGATTGTAAATGATTAATATAAATTACTTATGGTTATTTAAGTATAAGATAACCATATAATGTTGATAGTTTGGTGTTGAACAGTAATTAAATTAATTTATTGATAGTTTTTTGTTTTCCTTCAAAAGATTAAGATTAAACGCATAGCTCTCATAGAAAGGTTTTTATGAGATTATTATGATTATTTTTCTAAATGAAATTAAGGTAATGTAAAACAGTAAAATGACACTTAATGTACCTGTTTATTTGTCCAACTTAAACACATATCACAAAGTCAACATAGTCAAAACACAGTAGTAAACCTGTAATGGTGAGCATAGATAATAAGAAGATAATAATTAGATTTAGTTATGAGCTATAAGCTATAAAAGAATTTGGAATGTATGAGGCTATAGTAGAATTAAACTTTGGATAAAGGAATAAGATCCAATATTCCTCCAGAATCATGTATTTCCATAGGGCATCATATTTTTTGGATACTCAGTGTATGCTCTAACTATAGCAGTGACTGCATTCAACATTTATAGAATATGACAAACAACTGATTTGTACTAATTTATAAAATTCCATATTGGATGGAATTCCATGGCAATTTCCTATGTGCTTCATCTCTGTATGACCAAGTAACACAATAGTATGCTCTTAGTTTGGAATAACAGCTGTTCCTATTCCTGTAATTAGCTTTCACAATGTTTATTTGCTGTATTATTAGCTATGTATAGTTTTACTAATGAACATGTGCTAATCAGATTATTTTAGTGTCCCTACACATTATCAGTGGAATTTTGAAACCAGTTCCTTGCTTGCTTGTTCTAACTCTCATGTTGCACTTTTCTGCATGCCCTGCTCATCTTTTATGCTCTTGTTATATCCATACCACCTTAAAATATCCTATAAATTTTAGTTTATATACAGTTTGGTGCTATAGGTTTTGTTTTATTGTTTTGTATAACTTTTTTTTAAGTGTTATGTTTATTTCTATTTGTAGGCTGGCAAACAGTTATTATTTTTAATTTTGTGTTTCATGTTCCTGTGGTTCAGCAACTCATAAATGTTTTTTTTTTTATTAGCATTGGATATTACAAGTTTTTTAATTGCCATAAATATGTCTGAACTAGGAAAGATGTGATTTGAGGAATATGTAATTAAAAGATACAAAGTTGATTGTCATTCCTACAGATAGCATTGAGGCAAATGTGGAAAGTTCTGCCATACATGTTGAACAGGGAACACAACAGCTAGTTAAAGCACGACATCATCAGGTAATTTTAGTAATGTGTTTTAATTGAATATTTTTTGTTAAATATGACTGTAAAATTTTTTACCATAAAAGAATTAAATTTTCATTAATTTTTGTTTCTAGTAAACAAGTCTTAAAACCAAGTGTATTAGAATTTAAAAAATTCTTATGTTCTTCACCAGTTTTTTGCAAAAAGAGGATGTTAAACAACTACATATTTATTTTCTGAGTTGGGCTATCCTGGAATAAACACAAACCAAGAGTCATTGTTTAAGCCTTATCCAATGGAGTGGAAGACATATATATATATTAATTTGAATTGTGTTGCACTTCTTTGACTGCTCTTTGCATTCTAGCACTAACTAAAAGTATATATTGCTTCAAAAGTGTTAAAAGCAAACTGCTAGGGTTTTTTAAGGAACTCTTATAAAACACGTGTTACGTGATTTTCATTTAGAATTTGTATACAATGAACAGACATGTATGTACTTCCAAAATTTTTAATTATAATAATATGGCCAATATCCATACAGTTCTTTACAATAATTTTTTGATATTCTTGACGGCTAGTTTTCTAACAATATGCACGTATAATATACTGTCACTAAAACATTAACACTGTATAAATCCATTTTATTTGTCATTTTTAAATTTGTAGCAAGTTATATATGTCAAACAACATATCTCACCATTACGAAAATATTATTAGTGGAAAAATAGTCATATTATGTAATGCAATAATAACTAGTTGCTCAGAGTAAAGCAAAACAGTTTTAGATAATCAGAATAAAAGAGTAGCAAGAAACAGTTGGATTATTTATCCAAACTAAGCAGACCTAATATTTTTAATCCAACCTAATTTATTTTATTATAGAACTGATGAGAGCTATAAAGATTGATGAAAAACAGAAATCTATGAAATTGATATTTTTAAATAAAAAAATTAAAGTTTTTGATATAGACATAAATTTCAATAATTAAAATAAATGCTTGTTCTTGTTTTTTTTTTGCTCTATAAAGTCAAAGAAAATATGTACCCACTCAGAATTATATGGATAAGTGTTTGAATTGTATAACTTGTTCTTATCTTAACCCAGTACTGAAAAATAAAGTTGTTTAGTCTGAAGCCATTAGTAAATATTTTTGGTAATAATTTGATTTATGGAAGCAAGACGATATTGATATTAATATAAATATTCCTTTGTTGTACAGTTTATAAATGAAATTGAAGATACATAATTCTGTGTTATGAGTAAACTGTTAAACTTTATCCAAATAATTATAAATGTACTAGTGCATTTTACGTAATTTTAACTTTTTATAGTTCATTGTGTTGGTGTTTAATTCATGGTTGTTTTAAAAAATATGTAATAAAAAAGTGCTTTAAATGTAAAATTTGTGATGCAAATTAACTTTTTTCACATTCTTCTTAATTTTTAAAATCATAAGCATTATTTTGAATCAAAAATTGACAGAATAAGAGAAATGTGAAAGTAACATCTGCAGTTTATGTGTGACTTTAATGTTGCTTTGTCAGCTTTTGACACTTAAACCTTACTTTAAAACTTATTGCAAATTTCTATTTTAGATATGTAATTTTAATTCCTCTTAGTTTGAAATTCAAATGCATTTAGAAGCACTACTTTTCCATGATTCTTGGCATCTTTTTACACTCTTTCTCATAGGCTAAAGTCCGTCGAAAAAAATGCTTTCTGGTGGTCTTTGGCATAATTGTCCTGGTAGTTGTGATGGTGATCATTGTCATTGCCACCAAATCTGATGGTACTTGAGTATGGTATCATTTTTCTATTACCGTGTACGTACTGTGTAAGTTGGAATTACTGCACTATGTGATGAAGTATGAATAATGAAGCAAATCCACCTCATTTTTCCCACATCTTGCAGGTTTTATTTTATATATTTTCAGTTATTTACATATTGGATATATGTGTTCTTAAATCTAACACTTCAAGATTGTTTAGAAAAAAATAACGAAAAAATGCTTATAATTAGTAAACTTTTTTTAACATGATAGAATAACAAATGATACTAAACAGTAGAAAGCATCATTAAAATAAAATATTAAAAAGCATTTTTAGTATATCATTATTATTATTATTTTGTATGCTAAAAAAAATCAAACATGTATCTATGTATAATGATGAATATCTGTTGGTTCTATACTAATTAAAGTTACTTAATACCAGTTCATCTTGTACAATAACAGTTAATAAGTAGCATTAAAATATCTGTACCTTAACTCTGGTTGTTTTGGTAAAGCAACAATAAAATAGACTGAAAGATAAGATGTTTCTATTAACTGTTTTATAGTTTTACAGTAATGTCACTGATACTAGATAAAATGTTTCTATTAACTGTTTTATAGTCTTACAGTAATGTCACTGATACTAGATAAGATGTTTTCATGGCAAGAAAACCATCAAAGTACCAGAATTATCTTGAAAAAAATATATATATATAATTCATTCAAAAGTTTTAAACTCTTTTTCATGTCTTATTTAGAAGTCATATATATTTCTGTTGTTTAAATCATTTATTTTCTTTATAGGCAGCAGCTTGCTATCTTGTTCTTATTTTGGTCCTGGTAGCTGTCACAGTGGGATTATTCATATATCTGACTAGACAGTGATGACATTTTCTTAACTGGATCTTGAACCTTTTTTTTTTTGTAAAAACAGACTAATATAAAAATTTTAAAACATCTTAATCACATAGACTTTGTTATACGTTCATTTAGTTGTAATACCTTTGTTATTTCTTTTTCGTGTTATAGCTTTTTGATATATTCATCTAAAGTCTGTGTTAGCTTACTAGTTATGTTGAAGATAATATTAATTGAAATATCAGATTTGTTATGCTTTCATTGTAAGAAAGTTACCAAATTAACATTTTGCTCTCATAGTGTTGCCCTTCTTTTAAGCAGAATATCTAATTGAAACATTAAGCTTATGAGGAATTGAATCAAATCATAATGATGTTTTTTTATGAATGCTCATATAATAAGTGAAAATTATGAATATGAAGGATCCATTTGGAAGGTTTTAAAATTCACCTGAATACACAGTTCACATTAAAAAAAAAGATGTTCAGAATGAAAGAATAAATAAACAATTTGTCAAAAATTGTAACCAGCCTAATGAAAAAATAATAATTGTTGCTACTTGTTTACTTCTATTATGATATATACATACATATTTTGTTTTTAGTAGATAAATGTCATTAGTCTATTGTAGGAAAAAAAATTATCAGTTAAAACTAAAAATGTTTTAATTTCTTATATGTGTGATAAATCATAAAAATTTCAATGTATAAGAAATGGAGCATTTAATTACATATATTTTCTTTTTTTTCTGAGATTTTTATCTTCATTTGCTGCTCATTAGAATAAAATTATACACAGTGAAATTATCATTGTGAAGTACATAGCAGGGAAGAGGAAATAAAGTATGCACCCTATGTACTACTTGGAAGGTTTAGCATTATAAAGTCCTCGGATGAAGTAATTGTCTGTTTTTATGCTTTATTGTAAAATTCATTATTGTTCTAGATATTTCAAGAATTGTTAAAGAACATACTGTTTTAATCTAGAAAAATAACATTTTAGGTATGATACCTTCCAGGTTATAACATCTTATTTAAGTATGAGATGTCCATGAAAAAAAACTGAAATGTTATTATTATTTTATTGTATATCTTTCATTGTCTTTATATTTAGTAACCTTTATCTCTTGTACAATTCTCTAAAATAAGATTTTGTGGGAAATGATAGTAGCAAAATTGTTAGGCTTAGCATTAGTGATTAAAGGTCATGTTTGACTGCAGGTTTTTTGTTTTCATATTCCTTTTGATTAGTATTTTGCTGACTAGTTAAGATGAATGTCTAAAAAAATACTGCAGCCAAACATAATTTTTTTATCATTTTGTTTTTACATTTTAACTATAATTATAAGTATTTCAAAATAAAAAAAAACATAAAACTCTTAATAAAAGAATTACAGCTAATTAACTAGGAATCATAGAAGTAAGTGAAACCATTCCAAAGTGATAAATATACAGAAGAGAAGCAGTATGTTAAATGTTCTTTAGTTACTGCTTGTCTGTGGGGTTAAACGTGAAGTAATGGGTACTTTTATAAAACAAATATGTACATTTAACTAAGAAGGAAGAGACATTTTGCAGTGTTGAGGATAATATTGTGTAATATGTATGTGTGTGTGTGTGTTTAGTCCTTTGCTGCTTAATTAAGAAGTTTTGTTTCAGTTTTTATTTCCATCTTTGATATATACATACGTTCATACTTCTACATATCCCCCCCCCCCCAAATGGCACGGCGATAAGGCTGAAGGCTTATAATGCCGAATTTGATATCCATGGTGGGCACAGCACAGGTGGCATTGTGTAGCTTTCCTAAGTCACTTTTATTTATACTGTTACGTCTCCGTGTGTTAATTAATTTTCCGTAACTTAATAAATATTAAAAATATAAAAAATAAATATTTTACTTAAT